CTAATTTTATTTGAAAAAGTTTATTTGGGCCAGACCTTGTATTCTCGACTTCTGATCTAGAAAAGATTCTTGGACGGTTTAATAGCCCTATCCAAGCGCGGAAACTTATTATTATGAACGAAACAGGAATGGCTAGTGGTGAATGGCATAAGACAAATGATCATTTAAAAGCCCTTATTACAGAAAACTATATCTTAATTGAGTGCAAAAGCCTTGAATCCCAAGATTGTAATCATTTTGCTGGATTTATGATTTTAAGTAATCATGATGCCCCAATTCGAGTAGAAATAGGAGATGGGCATATCGTATGTTTAGATGTCTCCCCGCTATAAAAATAATTTTACATATTTTGACCAATTGGGAGGGATTCTCGAGCATCCTGATACGTCTAGATCTTTTATGTCATATCTGCTTAGTCTTAATCTTTCTGGATAGAAGCCACATAAGATTCCTTTAACCAAAATGAAAATAGAAACTATGCAAGACCAACTACCTAATCCTATTCGATTCATAATTGATTATATTGCACCATAGCCTGAAGATAAAATAGCTAAGCTAAGTAGCAATATATAATATCAGAAATATTTTGATTAGTGTAAAGGCAATAGAAAAAAACTATTTTCTAACAACATTCTTGGTAAGAAATTCTCAGAGATTAATATCGAACACAAGAAGCAAGTGGTGGAAAAAAGGAATGGCAATACATTCTCAATCACTCCAAAATCATAACTAAGCTCTGTAAATCCAGCCTAGATGATATCGAAGAATTTTCTGATATACCTCAACCTGACTTACCTGAAAATGGGACAACAGACATACCCATATTCAATGTGCCAGAATTTATTCCTCCAAAAATAATCCCGCCTCAGGCAGAAAAGAATCTCTCTCCTAGTGATAAAAAAGCAGATAAACAGAAAAATCTAACCCAAGCTCTATTTGACTATGTGGTAGAAGAAGCTGAAGCACCAGTTGCTTCAACATCTGGGACTTCTGAAACTTCTAAGACGTCTAACCTACCTGAGCCAAAAATCGTTAAGCGGTTTCAAAAGGACCAGCTCGAAACTAGCAAGCTTCCTGAACCTATTGAGCTTATAAGTGGAGTAGCACCTGATATGCCTTCTAAAAAAACTGATTCTTCCAAGCCTATCAATAAAGTACCATCTGCCATACTTCTGAGCAGGGCCCAGCACGAAGAGCACCTTAGAAAAAAGGCAATCGAACTTGGTGAGGATCCTGATATATTTGTAACTATTACAAAAAAGGACAGACTCGACTCTATTGCATTCCGGATAGAATAGAAACTGACACTTGGATACGCGGTTATGCAAAAGAGGGGGAAGAAGACCCTAAAGAATATATGGACATGTCAGTGCGGGAAAGATTAATAGAAGAAGAAATAATCTATTGTGACCTTGAAGATAAGGGGACCACATCCTCCTGGCTTGATACCGATGAGGAGTGGCAAAAAAAATAAGCATACTCCAGGAAAATGGTATGCTTTGGTAAAGAGCGAATTATTATTTTTTTCGAATTAAAAAATAACTAGATTAATATAACTAGATAACACTTACTATTGATATGGCTACTAAAACAGCTTCTCCAAAGACCCGAAAATCTAAAGTTAATAACTTTGTATTGGTCTTAAAGCAGTTTCTAGAAAAGCATAATCTGACGGCCAACTCTATTCCAGAACAATTAAACGAACATACTCCCAAACTTGATGTATTACTTCCTGATTGGATGGCATGCAGGTGTGTTAAAGTTGCTCTTGCCAGAGGTACTGATAACAGATGCTTATTTAGTGAAGAGCAGATAGAGGCTCTCTTACCAGATAAGAGAAAAGAAAAACTTACCATAGAGGAAAGGGCAAAATATTGTGCTAAAATCGACGATGCTATGAACATTTTTGCCTATCATTTAGATTTAGACCCAAAAAATGATTATGAAAATGAAATAGTCGCCAGTGATTCACGCTAGTCACAATTTCGTGTGAAATTAGCAGAAGATGGAGTAAGTCCTGAAATTATTAATACCTATGCCAAAGATCCAAAACTTATTCAAGAGTCTAATAAAATTCAGAAAAAACAAACTAAAAAACGAATAGCTAATCCGGATAGAATTCCAATACACTTCTCATCAGCAAGAGTGCTTAAAAGGATTCAGAATATGGATGTTTCTAAAATTCTATCTAAAGAAGATCTCGCAGATATAATTGTTAGATTGAGTATGAGATCTGCAGAAGTAAAATCTCTTCAAATTATTCACTATGAACCAGATCCTTTGAATGCTCCAGTATGGTATAAAGAAGGTTATTCTTGGTACTGTACGAGCTATTTAAAAAGTAGAGAAGAAAAGAAAAAGAATCCTGAGCCCCGACCATTTCTTTCTATGGAAAAGAAACCGGAACGCGCAAGAGAATTGCTTACTTGGATTCAAGATGCAATTAAGGTTAAAAAGTTATCTGACCCTGTTTTTACTGGAAATAGAACACATAATGCTTGGCCATTTAATGAGTTCTTAAAACAGGAACCTTATAGAACCATATCTAAAAAATTAAGAGATTATGGAAGTAAACAATTTCCAGAATCCATGGTGGTAAGAAACCAACACCCCAACATCTTAAACTGCTTTCGAGAATCGCAATGAGGCAAGAATCAGACCACCTTGATGCAGGTGATAATTACGCTATAGGCGATACAGAATCAGAGAAGTCTGACTCCGAACCAGAGACAGGTGACAGTTCAAAACCTCAAATACAGGCTTTTTTGTCATCTCAAACAATAGAAATAGATTCAATGTTAGCTGAAATTGATGCAATGTTAGCTAAAATTCAGAAATAAATACCA